CATTACCCTTGCAAAGATACCAATAAGCTTTCATGATTGGGTTTTTTCCTGTCATGCTATCATGGTCAACCTTTTTAAATCCATTACTAAATGTATGATATTGCTAAATTTTACTATAAACTTCTGCTTTACGCGATTCTTATCCGTCTTGAACCAACGACTTTCTTCACCTGTACATAACATCGATCTAGAGGACTTCCCACAAGGCGTTTACTTTCTCATGGTACCCAGTTTAATATTCCAGTGTCTCTCTGATCTAGTGATGATCGATTCTTCTTGCAACGTATTCCGCTCATTGCCACTACAACTTCCCTACTGATGCAATGACTTTTATTTGTTTTCAATTTTTTTTCTGTTATTCTTAAGATACTCAAATAGACATATCAATAAACTTTTTATTTGCACATTTATATGCGGAAGACGCATCTCTTCGAACCTCTCGACGGATATCTATTTGTTAATTGGTCACATATTTTAACTGCAAAACTGTCGTTCTGAATTAGCATACACATCATATTTGTACGTTTATGAAAATAACGTATTCTTGTTTCGTGAACTTATTGTTCACTTTCTGGGTGGTCAGAAATACTAATTGGTTGATGGAATATATATGTCTTGTACTAGTTATTCGTTCATTTTACTAGCCAGTTGTTCCCTTCACTTGAGGGGCAGCAACATTTGATGATTTTTCAGTGGTCCCGTTTGCATTAATTCAGAATGTTTCCTAAATCGCAAAATCACGGGAAGAGACTGTTTTTCAACAGAATAAATTCGACGCAGGTAGAATTTGATTCCGAGACCGACTGTCAAGCATGACAATACCGGCTGCTGAATACATCCATGCCAGGTAGTTATAAATCTGTCCATTGGCCGCTTGACATGACAGGGGCGCTGTTTCTGTTCCTCGCTGTATCATTATGATCACGTGCTCAGATCATTGCCAAACTGATATCGATTTTAATCAATTTATTAGCGTGGGTACTTTTCGTGTAATTCAGTGTTTCTTATTTGCTGCTGTCCTTTTACGCTTTGCTGTTTAAAACCTGTGGCACACCTCTCAGAACTATCGTCTTATGCAAGATTGTCAGGCCCAGTGTTACGTCAATTCATTGTTTTGTAGATCAACAGTTTCGTCTACTTGATGGAGATAAAATTGCCGCTTTGTTTGCCAAGTACATCAAAGAACTACTCGATACTAGTAAAGTTGATTTGAAACTGGGTGTTGTGCAAACGGCGTACGCAAATGGTGCTTCCACAAAGTTCATCGAGGATGTGCTGGTACGTAATATCATAGGAGCTGCGGCACACTGACGTTTAAATTAATTTGATAATGTGCTTTATATTCTAGCAAGTTACTGTCATATGCACATATACGGGTGTGAAGTTTCTGCATAAGGCAGCGAAAGAATTGGACATCGGAATCTACTTCGAGGCAAACGGCCATGGAACGGTGAGTAACCGAGCTACGTTTATGCAAACAAATTCACGTGCGTGCATATATACTGACTTATATACTATCATACGCATTGAATAACGGTGCAGAACGGTTCATTGTTCGACAGCGCATAACTCATGGTATATCAGATGATGTACCAGTGCTATTTATACCAATGTATTTGTTATCACCATAAGACAGCATGCATTGCGTTTTGCAACAAAATTTCTTTTTATGTGGTTTTTTCAAAGTCGCTGCCAGTGACGAAGAAAGTTTTCCATCCTCGACCATGTACAAACTCACTTGCGTATTTACTTATAACAGCATAGGTTGCACCTTCTGTTTATGATGACAATGAATAAGCAGCTACCATCACAATGAATAACCATACCCCTGACCCGTTCTGGTGTGGTCTCATCAGAACACTGCGCTGGCTGCTCCTGTTTTGTGCCAGTGACTCGATATCTATGTGAATGTCAGTGTGTCAGTGATTTGATAAGCGGTTCTCGGTTGGTTGTACCATAGTAAATTTTTCGCACAGGCATCTTAACGGTGTAGACAAATTTTGTCTTTTTCGCGATTGGAACCGTGCACCTCTGCAGTTTTAAGCCGCTTTCTTCGCCACGGTGTCTTAGTGTTACATATTTGTTTACCTCCCTGCCTACATATTTGCATATTTGCTTACGCTGCGTATAGGAGATCAACTGCAGTCATGTTTCTGGTAGTGCGATAACGGTGCTGAATACTGGAATACGCACCCAGGTGAACGATTGTGGGAAGGAATGCAGCACAGCTGCTTTACCCACAGGTACTTTTATAGAGGCATTTACAGATACATTCATTCACACAGTAATTCAGCTGGAATTTGAATCAAAAACAAGTTTCGTTTCATTTTTAGATAGTGTTCAGCGATCGAGCAGCAGAGATAATAGACAATAAAGAGAGGTTTGAAAAGTATGTACAGTATTTTTTGATAATTTTATTGTTGCATTATTTGTTTTTATTTTAGAGGATCTGAGCAGTACCGCGTCGCCATTACTGAGTTGCGAGCAGTTAAACAGTTAATAAACCAGGTAAAAAATTTTGACTTTCATAAACTAGTAGTTTTATGATCTGCGACTCTTTTAGGGTTGCCAAAAGACTGAGATTCTTACTTGGCAGTTTTCGTACAGAATTAACTTCAATTTATTCTTTAAACGTTAGGCTTAAGCTAAACTACTCTTTGAGGTAGACGTATGTATCGGGAGATTACCACATGTTCCTTAGTTTTGCCGTCTGAACAAAGCATGTTGTTTGTGTTAATTAACACCTTGTTAACGTAAGTCTTGTTAGCTCGCCGGAAATCCATTCTGAAAAGCTTAGTTTGCAGAATCCTTTTATGAAATACGCTTATAATTGATTGATTGCATAATTTATTCTATTGTCTTAATGATTATGGCACCCTTTTACAGACAGATTAACTCGTTTAGGCATAAAACGTGTGTAAATCACTCGCAAAATTTGGACTCACGCCTGACTGTTTCAGTTTTCAGTGCATGCTGTAACAGTTACCATCACGCTTAAGGACAATGCACTCCATACTACTCCCCTCAAAATGGGGGGAAGATGCGATTATGAGTTATGTCAATGTTTTTATTTATTTATTTGTTTGCTTAACTGTAGTTGTAACATCTGTCAGGTTGTGCTGTAATTTCGTTGAATTTTGACTTGTGAAACTTAAATGGTCTCCGTATTCGCTACATACAAAGGAAATGCGGGATTACATAGTGAGAATTCAGAGAAGTGAGGGAATATTGATAATACTCTTGTGTTTAAAGTTCTGACTAGTGTTTTTAACCACCGCATGGATTTTGTTTTTGATGCCTTATATGTCCAAAATTGTTTAGGCTACTGGTGACGCTATCTCTGATCTTTTGCTGGTGGAATCAATTTTGCGAATCTTTGATTATTCGATGGTTGAATGGGACGGTCTTTACGTCGATATGCCCAGCAGACAACTGAAAGTTCAAGTATTTGCTGTTAGCACTGAATCATGATAGGTTTTATAGCTAGTGAGCGACTTTTAAATGATGTAAATGATGACTTCTTCAAGACTGTGACTACTACTACAAAACGATGACTACTGCTCTTGAACGATGACTGTTATATGAATACTATTTATAAGTTTTAAGTGAAGTGGAATGCTAATTTTCATGTCAGGAAACGGAATAGGGGCTATAATCACTAAAGAACTTGTTACAGGCTTCTTGCATCGTCATGAAGACTTTGGTCGTCGTAAAGCGAAAAGTCAAATGTTTACATATAATATACAGTAACGGGGTTAAAATCCTCTGTGCAGTTTCCCAAGGTATTGATATGAACCTTTCAGACCTCTTTTGAATTATTTGTTGCAGCGTGACAGATTTCAATTTCTGTTCAGAAAGATAACGATATGAATGTCCAAGTTGAAGCAATTATGTTGGGAACGATTTTCAAAGTTGCTGGCAGCCAACTGGCGGAATTGATCTTTTCATTTGTTTGAAATAACCTGCGAAGCAGCGCCATAATCCAGGCTCTGTTTTGCTAACGAATTATGTTCGTCAATGATACTCTCTTACTTTGCCTTCGTTTGCGCATAGGCACGACGGTGAGGAAAGTTCTGACCAGATCACTCGTCATAATTGTGTTGAATTATCAAATCCGGTTACGATTATTTATTTAACATGCCATTTCAGTGTCAGCTGCTAGTTTTCACTGCCATAGCATATACGCCGCACCGTAATTAACTCAGTTATGCCATCCGTCTCTTTGGTCATTGCTTTTTCTTCTGGACGGCAGTCGGTTCCATCTTGTGTGAAGCATCTATTTTGGCCTTAATTTTTACCTCTTGTGCGTTTGTCTAACTTTCGCAATTTTGTATGTTGGAATCTTTCTCTGGTCGATTACCCGAAGCTGAGCTATTCGTTAGCGTATTCATATTCAGAATATTGTGTAATAAAGAAGTGATGTTTATACGGATGCTTCTTAAATTAGGTTGGGGTTGCGTTTCTACGAACCGATCGAAAGTTAAAAAATAACTTAAATCGAATATGAATATGATACCATAAATAAATGGGTAAATAAATAGTTGCTGTCAAATAATAAATAAATGAACGAATAATTGCTGTAACTGACTAAATGCACGTAATTGAAAAGTTAACATGAACTGCTTGGAATTCCTGCTTGTTAGGAGGCTGTAGCGACAGGGTCATCAATTTCTTTTTCTTCTGATGATTCGCGTTTGCTAGCATATCTATCTCGTAGAAGGCAGACATTGGGTCGTCGACACTCGTTTGATGGTTCGGCAGCAGGCGCTTCCTTCTTCAAGAAGGTATCAAGTTTTGACTGCACAGTTTGGTTATTTTTTTACGTTCATTATAAATTTCCTTATAGCAAACAAAATCGTCCTGTCTTTGTCTTTAGCAAGTCACCTATAATTATGATCATATCGTCACTCACAAACCCTTCACGAAAATAGACAGCTATGACTTATTTTACTTGCTGCCAATCACAAGACGCATGAGTTTCAAGATAAATATTTTTTTTAAGTTTTTAACATTTTGCTATTTATTTGTTATTTGATAGCAGGTGCTGTGTCAGAGTTAATGGCGTTAAGTTGAAACCATTCAGTGTTCGCACTGGTCTCCGC